GTGTGCGTGTGTGTGGCTACATTGGGGTGTCTCAAAGGCCTCAGGGCAGTTTTTGGCTTTAAGAACTTCAGAAGTAAAAATGCTGTAAGTCCACACAAGCATCATTGGGAAGTTCAGTTACTTATACTTCTTTACACTTAGGTTTGTGAATTTTGAATGATGATTTATTTTTAATTTTAAGGTTTTTGTGTGTGGCAGTTTTATGGAGAAGAATTCCCAAGGCCAGTGACTTAGTAGAGGCTCCCTTGCTTGGCCACCTCTGTCCCCTGATCTGTCTCCGTTAGACCTTTTCCTTGTGGGATCATGTCAAACTGTCATCTATGCATCAAAACATCATTCTTTCAACAAATTTGATAATCTAGATGAAATGGTCAAATTTCTACAGCACAAAATACCAAAATGGACTAAAAAAGAAATGGAAAATATGAATGGATCTACAGCAAGTAAAGAGATTGAGTCAGTAATCCGAACACTTCCCATAAAGAACAGTTCAGGAACACATGTGTTTATTGATTAGTCTACCAAACATTTAAAGATGAATTAACATCAATAAGTCACAGATTCTTCCAAAAATAAGAGAGGATATTCTCATATTCATTCTATTAACTTAGTATTATCCTAGTACTAAAACAAAACAAAACAAAACAAAACAAAACAAAAAGCCAGACATCACAAGAAATGAAACTACAGACCAATATCTCTTATGAATACAGATGCAAATATATTAAAAAATACCATCAACTGAATTCAGCAGCACATGAAAAGAATTGTTCACTATGACCAGCTGGGATTAATCCCATGATTGCAAGGTTGGTTTAACACATGAGAATCAATAGACCATATTAACAGAAATAAAGGACAAAGATCACATGGTTGTATCAATAGAAAAAGAAAAAACATTTGACAAAATCCAATACCCTTTATAACAAAACAGTCAACAAATTAGAAGTTAGAAATGGGAGGAAACACGCTACCTGGGATCAAAGGTATCCATGGAAATCAGAGCTAACACCACAGGTCACGGAGAAAGACTGGAAGCTTTCTCCGTAAGAGCAGAAGAGTTGTGGATTTCGCTCTGGCCACTTTTAGTCAACATTGAATTGGAAGCTATAGGCAGGGTACTTAAGCAAGAAAAAGAGATAAAAGGCATCAAGAGTGGAAAAGAAGTAACACTCTCTTTATCTGCTGATGACACGATATTTTGTAGAGGAAACAGGAAGAGACAAAGTGGCCATGCCCGTAGGGATAGAGGCCATGCACTGACTCCGTGACAAGGACTCACCCTCACCGAGCCGGCGTGCTAACACCTCTGCTGAGGGCGTCTTATCTCAGCAAAGAGATCAGCATTGATCTTCTGATACGGTCCTGTTCACTGGGGGAACCAGCCAGTCACCTGGTGGCAAGTTAATGATAACTGGACCTCTTCCATCTTGGAGGGGGCAGATATTTGTTTTCACTGTGATAGATCCAATCTGGATACGGATATGCCTTCCCTGCCCCACCATGCTTCTGCCGGCGCTACCATCTGCGAACTCACAGAACACCTTACCCACCATCATGGTACTTCCCCCCACATTGCCTTTGATCAGTGCTTCCCACAGCATTGCTTCTTTTACAGCCAAGGGAATGCAGCAATGGGTTCTGGGCTATAGACTTAGTTGCTTTTAGCACACTCCATTACCTAGAAGCAATAGGGCACATTCTGAAAGCTTGCTAATGTGATGTGAGGGCTTACTGAAGACTCAGTTTTCATGTTCACTGGGAGTCAGTATTGTAAAAGGATGAGGTGCTGTCCTACGGGAGACAGTATATGCTTTGAAACAGAACCATATATGGTGCTGGCACCCAATGGCCAAATCATACGTGTCTTAGAATCAAGAGGTGGAAGCAGCTTGTCTCACTATTAAGCCCCAAAATTCACTCATAGAATTTTTTCTTCTTATCCTGGCTACTTTGAGCTCTGCTTGTTTGGTGTTCTCAGTCCCCAGAAAGGAGCTGCTCCCCAGGGGACACCCCATGACTCCAGGTAAAGAACCCCAGTCAGCAAGGCACTCTGCCAGAACTTATAACAGAGAGAAGAAAAGCATGACCAATGTGTCTGTGAAGAATCCAGGCACAGGACAACCTCTCAGAGGGCTCGCTTCTGGAAAACACATCCTGGGTAGTAATTGGAAGAATTTTGATTCTAAGTTTATATAAAAAGAGAAAACAGGCACGCATACTGATTTTTTTAATTTGCTCATCTAAATGGAAAGAGAAGTCCATCTTTAAGGTCTGCAGAAAAGGACAAATCTTTTCCAGGCCTCTGAGGCACTTGAAGATGCAGTTAAAAAGAAAAGCTTTCTTACTACCTTGTCCGCATAAGTCATAGCATAACATGGAGCAGGGCTGTTGCTTCGTACACAATCAGTGTTAGTCCTACCACAACCCCATTTAGCCGTCACTAGTGATTATGCTAAGGTTATCACTATTCATATACTCCATCTATTTCTAGATAAAGGGCCAGCTTGTGTCTTTAAAACATTGGCTATTTTGTCCACATTCTAGCACTGTAGTTAAGTTCAGTGCTCTGAAGCCTGAGGCTCAGGTTTGAAGGCTATCTCAGTCACATTCTAGCTCTGTGATCTTGGGTGAGTCAATTCACTTCTGTCTGAATTTCTCTCTCTCTGAAATGAGGATGACAGTGGTATCTGCTTTGGCCTGTTGCATGGAGAATTCACCACCATAGCATATGCAAAATTCTTACAACATCACTTGGCCCATAATAAGCAGTGAATACTTGTTAGCAACTGTTAATATTATAATTTGGCAATGCTTGCTCTAATTCTCTTTGCCAGGAGTGTAAACCATTTTATATCCCTTCTCTCTCTTTCTCCAGCTAAATAACTGCTGTGGACTGAATTGTGTCCCCCTCCCCCCAAATTCATATGTTAAAGCCTTAACACCCAGTGAGACTATATTGGATAGAGGGCCTTCAGGGATGTGATTAGGGTTAAATGAGGTCACAAGAGTGGGCCCTAATTCAATTGGGAGGTGTACTTAGGAGGAAGGGATGCAAGAGATCTCTACAGAGAGGAAAGGTCATGTGAGGACAGACAGAGAAGGTGACCATCTAAACGCCTGGAAGAGTGACCACACCAGAAACCAACCCAGATAGCATTTTGATCTTGGACTTCCATCCTCCAGAACTATGAGAAAATAAATGTCCGCTGTTTAGACCATGAGTCGGTTGTATTATGTTATGGCGCCCTAGCAAACTAAGACAATGACATTGAAGTCTCTGAATTCACCTGTTTAATGAGAGACACACAGCAGTGCTGACACTGTGTCCGATGTCATCCTTGGATACATTTAGCCACTAGATTGAAGTCTGGCATCTGCAGGGTGGGGGCTGTCACAGCAGGGAGTCACATGCCAGCATGACTGCTGTCCACTTGATTCACTCTAGTGGTTATGTTTTCAACAAACTTTTCTGAGACTGACTCAAAGATGTGCAGGAATTAGCTCCTGCAAAGAGCTCTCACTCTTATTTCTTTCTTCTTTTAGGCTTATCCCAGAGGATTTTGTAAGAATAATAATTTGGGCAATTGAGTCACTAGATTCTAGACTGTGAGCTAACATCAGCTGTGGTTTTCCATTTCCTCACTCACTGGGCAGTGCTGGTTGGAGTCCTGGCCATTCCACTTTAGGGGATGCCCAGAGCCCTCCCTCGAAGTCTTCCGACTCCCCTTCCCATGTCCTCTTCCCTCTGAGTCCCTGTGTGGATGGGCCGGACTGTACCCCAGAGCTGGCTTTCAAAACTTTGGCTCACAGCGAGCATGCGCGCACTTAGTGGTCCCAGCTGAAGGCTGAGAGAGCTCAGGGAGGCAGCTGGGGGTCATGGGGGCAAGGCCCAGCTAGGGACCTTCTCTCCCACCTCTGCAGCTCTTTTCTGTTGATCTTTTCTTCCAGAATTTCCCAGGAATTCTTTTCCCTTTCGTGCGTGGAACAATGCAACTGGTTACAAGGCTCAGACTTGCAGAAACCGTAGTTCATAAGGTACTTGTAGAACAAAGAGACTTCCCTATTCGGGCAATTTTGCTGATACCTTTATTATAAATAAATATTATATAATGTGCATATATATATATACAATGACATATACATGCATATTATATGTATGATATAATGAATATTATAAATAACAAGCATCTCGTTTTTCTTCTCTTCACTACGCAAGGAAAAGTTAAGGCAATTTGAAGGGGAAGGGAACTGCGGCGTCTAGAGGTCTTGGTAGGGCTCCTCAGACTCACTCATTGGCTCGTGGAAAGCTGTTAGGAATTAGCTTCCGAATTTACTTCTCAGGTGTAGGGTGTTTAGAACCTGGAAGTAGAATTCTGTTAATCATGTGCCTTTAGAACATAAATCAGGGCAAAATGGCTTTTCCAATCTTTTATTAAGGCTTTTCTAAGATCATGATTAAATATTAAGCAGAGAGGGAGGAAGGGAGAGAAACAAAAAATTTATTAGCTCACACTGACTTCTCTAGTTGTGGAGGTAAAGTAAAATTTGATTCCTATGTATTTTGCCTCTAAATGAATTACACAGAAAATGTAAGAACGCACTCTGAGTTATCAAGCCAGCATTTGTGTTTTAAGGATGCAATTATTTTAAGGATGCAACGTGTTTGAAACACGCTTTACTCCTGGAAAGCTCTGTCCCATCGCCTCGGTGGCGAGCAGCAAGAGGGCTGGGCGCTGCTCTCTGCAGTGACCTTCTCGGGGCGCTCCACGTGTCCTAAACACCGCGCCCGGCCCGGGGCCGCAGACCCCGCCGCTCCTCAGTGTCCCGCTAGTCCCTGGCTTCCGTCCTACTCTCGCTCCACCGCCTCCCCGCCCTCTCCCGCAGCCCACGCCCCCGTCGCGAGGGGCAGGGCAGGAGGCGGTGGTCGGCCCGCCCCAAGACCCTATTAAAGAGTCCCGGGCGAGGGCTGGGCACTGTGAGCCCGACGGCGAGGAAAGTGGTGTGCGGAACTCCCGGAGCGGCGCGCAGGGTCCGGCGCCCAGGACTGGCCTTTCCCGGCCGGGGAGGGCGCTCTGAGCACCCCCGCCCCCAACAAGGTCCCAAGTGCCCCTCGGCCGCGCTCTCCTGCTCAGCCCTGCGGGCCCCGGGAGGCCCGGCCATGCGCCCAGGCTAGTGCGCCCGGGGCGCAGCGCCGACCCGCGCTGTCCTGCCGTCCGCTTCCGCTCCCGCCGCCGGCATGCTGCGCCCGCTGCTGCTCGCGGCGCTCTGCGTGGCCGGCCGGCTCGGACTCAACCGCGGCTGCCAGCTGCCGTCAGAGTGGAGACCCCTGAGCGAGAGCTGTCGCGCCGAGCTGGCTGAGATCATAGTGTACGCCAAAGTGCTGGCGCTGCACCAGGAGGTGCACGGCCTCTACAACTACCTGCCCTGGCAATATGAGGCCGGCGAGGCGGGGCTCTTCTACTCCGCGGAGATCGAGATGCTGTGCGACCAGGCGTGGGGCAGCATGCTCGAGGTCCCCGCCGGCTCCAGGCTCAACCTCACCGGCCTGGGCTACTTCTCGTGTCACTCCCACACTGTGGTCCAGGACTACTCCTATTTCTTCTTTCTCAGGTGAGCCCGGCGCGCCAGCAGCTGCATGACCTCTCACAGAACCCTGTCCGTGCTATACGAGAATATGCCTTAGGGTCCTCCTCTTACTTTCTAACCAACCTTCTCTCCAAAGATCCCAGGTATCTCTGGCTACGGGGGTTTAAAAAAGAGGAATGATTTCTGGGCTTCATGAAAAGAGTTTCAGGCAACTGCTGGAGGTGGTTTCTAATACTCAATTCGAGTCAACTTTATTTATTTTTAACTGGATTCAGTGGGAGTAGCTTGGGCTGGTGAGAAAGAAAAAAGAAAAACCTTTGAAGTTGGACTGTTGTTGGAATTCTGGTTCTGCTTCTCCTGATTTTGTGCAAGGTACTGACCTTCTCAGGAGCCTCAATATCCTCGCCTTAGTCCTGTGGAAAGCAAGGTTGATCGAGACTAGAACACAGTGATTCATGCAAACACCTGGTGCAGGTTAGACACAGGAATAGCCACACTTTCTTCTCCCACCCGCTCGAGTGCCTGGACGCAAAGGGTGTGGAATGCAGCCCAGCTGTCCTCTCTTTTCACTCATATCCGTTGATATCAGACTCGAATCAGCTGCCAGCAGACCTCAATGCCAAGCTGTTCAAAATAGCCAAGGTTTAGGGGAGTAGGCTTCTGGGTACCACCCTGAGTCATGGTACTTCGAGGAGGATAGAGTGAGTCAGGCAGGAGATTGTTGCTGGTTGGAGACTCCTGGAATCTTGCGATGTGCCGTGAAAGCTGGCCTGGCGGCAGGATGGAATGTGTGCGTATGAAGAGTTCGGTCAGTGGTTCCACTAAAGTCTGAAACAGAGCAGCAGGTGAAACCCTAAATGGTGCTGTTTCCAACAGGCTGTTTCCAATTGAAACAGGATCGTGATACAGAGCAACTGAGGGAAACATCGAAATGGAATCTAACATCTATATCCAGATAGTGAACTAACCGAAGTTAGGATTGGTACTGGTTGCGGTCTGCCCAGTGTGTGTGCCCAAGCGATGAGAATATTTGAATGTGTGTGACCTGCGTCTGCAGATTCACTTTGAGCTCTTGAGATTTCACATTTCTCGGAGAAGGAAACCAGTAAGTTACACAGAGGGCGTCCATGAGCCCGAGGCAGCACATGTTTCCCATATCAAAGCCAGCACAGCTAAGTTTAGAATCCATGGGGCGTGCTTGGTGTTGGCTTGAGTGGTTCAGCGAGGTTCAGCTGAATTTATTTTTTTCATTCCTGGGGAAGTATAGTTTCTAAAAGTCAGCAGGGACTGAGACTGTACCTATCTTACACAGAGAGGCTTAACTAAGATTTTTCATGTTTTTATTTAGGACAAATATAAAAACACAGCTATAAACTATATAACACTGAAATTTCATTTTCCAAAGCAAAAACAGCCAGAGTACTTGAGTAGACATGGTTTGCCCCAGCCTCCCAACTTTATAATGAAATACAGTTTTGTCCACTGACTCTGTGGTAGCCAGCCACCTCTCGTCTTCTGCTCCGGCATATTTACAAAGTGTTAGGACAGAAATACAGAGTCACACAGTAGTCTGTACATTTCCATGTCACGGGGCTGTGTTGTCCTGAAGTGTGTTAACAGCTGCGTACAAATCATTCCTCCTCTGTTATTTGGGGACCCACTGAGACGGCTTCTGGTCAGTGTCACAGGGAAAAGTGGCAGTGGAGACCCACTGGAGAGCTGAAGTGTAACTTCTCTCTCTCCTGTTCCTTTTCATGACTTTATTGTTTCAGCGGGTCATTTACACTAGGCTCAATCAAAGCGTTAACTAACATTTATACTGCACTCACTTCATGCCAAGTACTGTATTTACTTACATTTTCCAATGCAGTCCTCACAGTGCCACCAAGAAGTAGGTGCTATTATCTTGTTTTTAGAGATTGGAATACTAAAGCTCAGAATTAAAAAAAATTTATTTCATGTCAGATGGAAGATAAGTAGTAAGGGTAGGATTTGAACCTGGGTCATTTCAGCTGGCCTTCCTCACACCAAGAAACAAGGAGCACCCTCTAGGAGACAGTAGGCCTCTTGAGAGATAAACAAATAGGTAAAACATATACACATGCAAGCAAGCCCTTTCACCCGTCACTTTTTTAAAAGTTATATGAAAAGCTTCAGAATAGATGCATGTACCGGAGGCAGAGAAATAATTAGGAACAGGGACTCCTCTGATGGGAGCCCTGGGAGACGACGCTGTGTGATTGGCGGGGACTGTCCGGGTCCTTCTCTGACGCTTGATTAAAGCTGGTGCACCCCACAGGTGTCCCCTCTACATCTGCCTTCTTGTTCTCTTCCCCACCAGGATGGATGACAATTATAACCTCTTGCCTCATGGAGTCAACTTCCAAGATGCCATCTTCCCAGACACTCAAGAGAACAGAAGGATGTTTTCCAGCCTTTTCCAGTTTTCAAACTGTTCCCAAGGGCAGCAGCTGGCCACTTTCTCCAGCGACTGGGAGGTCCAGGAGGACAATAGGGTAAGAATTGGCTGTGTCCTGTGCAGCAGCACCATGATAGAAAGCCACATCTTGTATGAGTTTTTAAAAAGTTTTTATTTATTTATTTTTAGAGAGACAGGCAGGGAGGGAGAAAGGGAGAGAAACATCGATGATGCAAGAGAAAAATATCTATCGGTTGCCACCCATGAGAGCCCTGACCAGGGACCAAACCTGCAACCTGGTGTGTGCCTTGACTGGGAATCAAGCCAGTGACCTTTTGCTTTGTGGGACGGCACCCAGCCAGCTGAGCCACACTGGTCAGGGCTTTATGAGTTTCGTGACCAAAGGAGTCAAGAATACTCTTCAAACGCCCAGATCAAAGAGTGTTATCTTCCCTTCTCCGTCCCACCAGCAGTTAGAAAACACTGCCCATGAGCTGCAGATTTCTGAGGCTTTGCCCGTTGGCACGGGGTCCCTCACAGAGGGAGGGACCGAGTCGGGAAGAAGGCTGGTACGCCGCACCGCAGTTCCTTCTTCCGTAACGTGGAGTCAGTAGCAGCATCCATACCACGGGGCCGCTGCCGTGTGGTCTCACTGTGTGGATGTATGAAGGTCCAAGTCCTTAGCACGGTGCTTGACAGAGTCAGCACCCTGCACACGTGGGCCCTTGTGACCACCACCATCACCATCGTCGTTATTGCTCTGGTGGTGGTCTCGATCGTGTAGGACTCCAAGAAATGTTCTGAGAGGAAAGAGAATGTTCTTAAGGAAGTGAAATGGAATTTTACCACAGCTAACACTTCTGTGGTGTTTAACTGCAGTTGTTAAGGCACAGAGGTACAGGGTGGCCACAGTGTCTGTGGTGTGTAAGGGTCAGGGTGGTTGGGGATGAAGACATAAAGGGGGGATTTTAAGGATCGTTACTTTCCCAAAGCAATTTTGGCGGTGGTGGTGGGATGACTGTGGAACCAGCCCAGTCCCCTGGCTGAGACTTTTTAAGGCAAGGTGACAGACTGCTGGAGAGAGTTCTGCTGGGGGGGAAGTGGGGGTCCCCCGGAGCAAGGCCTGTTTTATGGGTTAATGAGCCATATTTGGGGGCTTTGTCCTTCCGTCCTTATGTGATGGCTTTGTGCAGAGTGCTTGTCTGTTGTCTGGTGGGTTGGTCTAGGGATGCTGCCTCGTTCTTCCGGAATCCCAGGCCTTCTGCCCAGGACTCCCTGGCACCTGGGGGCCTTCTTCATCCTCCTGCGCAGAAACCGTTAGCATGATAGGCAGGTACATCCAACTAGAGAAAACTTTATTTTTACTTCCTGGGTATTGTGAAGAGCTTCTTCCCTTAGACTTACTTTATTAATAGCAGTCTAGAATCCTCTAACCCCCCTCCATGGTTTATCAGGATTTCTCGGACTCTTGTCCTATATTTTGCTCCCAGCATGGGCCCAAGCACCTGTTTCTTACCCTTCTTAACCTGTACCGGCCCCACTCCTTTTGCCCTGGCCTGCCAAGTATAAGCCTGAGTATCCCAAGCCTGAGTCATGTCCTAGCGCATTCCAGACGAAATCCTTTTAGGCACAGCCGTTGGGTTCTCCATTTCGTGGGAGCTTTGCTTATACTCCTAGATCCTTGATAACAATGAATTTATATGAAGAGATCAGATAATATTCCAAAAACATTTTAGTAGCTTAGCCTCACACTCTTCGGTTACATAACTTATTAGTCCAATGGTCACATAATGAAACTATTAACATTTCCTGGAATTAGATTTTCCATCATTTGAAAAACACAGAACAATAGGACCAGTGGAGACTTGGTTCAGTGTGCGGCAGCCCTGTTTCTGGTGGTCAGATGTTGGTCTTGGGCAGAGGTCTTCCTCATTAGCCCTCTGATTGCCCTGGCCACTCAGATGCCGAAGCCAGGGTGGTCACCCGATTCTGAGGAAGAGTCAGGAGCTTTGAGGGAGGAAAATAATTGTTCGGGTTGCCGACCTCCTGTGCAGCCAAATTCAGAAGTTACATCTGACATACCTTGCACTTTTTAACACCTTTGGAACCCCTTCTGTTTTTATCTCTGCCCACTTTGAAAGGTAGCACATCAGAGCTAAGTTAAATTAGCTAATTTAGAATTTAATGTCCTCTTTTGTCAATATTAGGATTTACATTTCATGATATTCCTGGGGAAATTTTTATGTACTCTGAAGTAATTAAAGTAGTTGTGAGTTGATGATCTCCGAGTTGGGTGAAGAATTATTGACAATTACTCGTTCCTTTCTTCAGCAAAAGATGTTAAGCATTTTCTTCCTTCCCTGTGTGAAGGTGGGCATCACATTGTCTCTCCTACCCAGGCTGGCTATCTCCTGTTCTGTCGGAAGGAATCTACACTTTCCCCACGGGGCCCTCACTCTAGGGAGGGGTCAGAAGAGCCATTCATGAGGAAATTCCATACTCTTTTCCTGAAACACTAAGTCAGAAGAACCTAGGCACCCCAAGTTCACAACAGCATAATTTACAATGGCCAAGTGCTGGGAACAGTCTCAGTGCCCATCATTAAATGAGTGGATCAATAAACTGTGGTAGTAGGCGCAGCAGAAAAATGGAAGTACCTCCTACCCTTTGCAACAATGTGATTGGAACTGGAGAGCATTATGCTGAGTGAAGGACACGAGGCTGTGAAAGACAAATACCATGTGATCTCACCTATAGGTGGATCCTAATTAACAAAACAATAAGCAAGTAAAATATAACCAGAGACATACATAGTAGAAACAAACTGACAGTAACCAGAGGGGAGAGGAGAGGGAAATTAGGTGGGGAAGAAGGGGAAGAGTGGTAAATGAACATATATAAAGGACACATGGACAAAGCCAAAGGGGATGGGATTGAGGGGCTATATGGGGGAGGCTGCATTGTTAGAAAGTTGTGGTTTGAAATGGAGAAAACCGTATTCAAACATTGATAAAAAAAATTAATAAAAATTAAAGAGGTAAAAAAGAGCCATTCAGGTCACATTTTTATTCCAGTGGGAGTAGGTCTGAGGATGCTTTTGAAAATCGGAGCCCATGAATGCTTCACGTGTTTCAAGCCCATTTTAAGTGGCCCTGGACATTGCATGTTACATGCCCTTCCTTTGCATCACGTGCTGTAACGTCCCTCATGAGGTCGGTGAGCCCTTGGGCTTTCTACTGCTCGAGCTGTTGCTCTCGGCTTCCAGTCGGCTCGGATGGTGACCTAGGCTGTGGCTGTGACAGGCAGCTATCAGTCTCTTCACTGGCAGTTCACCCTTTCTCCGTGTTGGGGGGTCAGTGAGTCTGGGACTCTGGAGTCCATCCGGAGGCTAAGAAATGGAAGAGGAGGAGGATCGCACGTAGGGAACCTTTGTGATGCACATCCAAGGCCTCGTTCACCCTGGTCCTCAGCAGCACAGCCTCCCTCTCCCTAGTTCCATTTTCGGCGTCCCACCCAGCCTCGGCAAGCAGAAACACAAGTTTTCCAAAGTTGCCAGGGAGTGGGCAGTGTTACTGAGTGTTCAGTGCTGCTCTGCTTCAGTGTCATGGTGTTAATGGGACCTTGGGGGGTGCCTTTGGCAAGTTGGAGCATCCAGCAGACTTACTGGCAGGATTCTCCCCACACCAGCCAAGGACATTTTTCTTTCTTCTTTCCTATCCTGCTGGGTGAGTGTAACGGTCAAAACAGAAGTTGGATATTTTCCTTTCTCTGTAAGTACTGTCCCCTAGGACCAAGACCCAGACTGACCTATACTTGCGTAGGGCTCTCACAGAATGTCATGGGGTTGAAATACAATCTCTGAGACCTCTGGCATCGCTGTTCTGAGTTGGAAAGGGTTGGAAAGCTATTCTTCAAGCTGCGTTAGAAGGAACATACACGCAATCTGAGGATCTCAGTTGGCTCTGTCATTTCTAGAGGAATGACCTTGGGAAGGGCCCTTTGTTTCTCATGACCTCAGTTTCCTCATCTATAAAATGGGGCTACAATATACGATGTTAGCCAAAAGTCTGTTACATTTTTTCCATACAATGGCTCTATTAATGCTTGCTTGTTTTTAACTTCATTCAAAACAATTTTGTTAAATTGTATTATGACAGCTGTCATATCAGCATGCATTTTAAAAATCAAAATTAATGAATATTTGTGCAGCCATTAAAATATTGAAAATGGAAGAATCTATGCAACTTTTTTGGCATATTATGCTCTATTGTTTCAAGAGAGGTAAAAACACAACTGAAATGCAAAAAGAGGTTTGTGCAGTGTATGGAGAAGGTGCTGTAATTGACCAGATGTGTCAAAAGTGGTTTGTGAAGTTTCTTGGTACTATTGACATTTTGGCCAAATAATTCTTTGCTCTGGGGACTGTCTTATGTATTGGAAGATGTTCAGCAGCACCCCTGGCTTCAAGTCACTAGAAACCAGTAGTGGGAGACAGCTGACATACTCAAAATATCTGAATTAATAGAGCTATTGGTGAACATGAACAATGGGTATTTTATTTGATGGAAATACCTTTATTTGATGTCTTTTATCTGATCGAACAGACTTTCTGGACAACCCAAGATAAACTCTCAGGTTGTTGTAGGGACCTAACTAGACCATATTGGAAAGTGTTTATACGTTGTCAACTGTAAAGGGTGATGCAAGAGTTTATTACTGTAAATGGATCATTTTGAAGTATACCTTTAAAACTGACATATTTTTAAAATTTAAAAAGCTTCCTGCTGCTTCCCAGGGGAGTGGCGGAGTGGTGGCAGTGTGGTGAGGGGGCAGTGGGTGGCAGATGGGGACGCAGGACAGGCAGGCCACCGCGTGTGCTTTCATGCACTCAACAGAATGTATTGGATTCCAAGCAGGGACACTTAACTCATTTGCCGAGTTAGAAACACACACTCGTATGGGTTCCCAAATCTGGAAGTGTAAAGGGGGAGTCAGTAGTTTCTCTCCCACCTCTGACACCCATCTGTCCAGTTCTCACCCACCCTAAAAACAAGTAGCGGCTGTTATTAGTTTCTTATAAACATTCAGTGAGTGTTT